AAACGAATAAATTCCAACGGTAAGCAGCAGCATGTTTCTCTGAATGTTTACTGCCAAAATATAAATGGTCTTTGTTCGAAGCTCATTGAGTTAAAAAATAATTTATCTGCATGCCTTGATGATGTTATTCTACTATGTGAAACAAATCTCTCTCCTGATATCCCCGACTCCGAAGTTGTTGGCGATACTGACTTCATTGTTCATAGATGTGATAGGTCTGCTGCTACAAGTCACAAAAGTTCTGGTGGAGGAACCCTACTTGCAGTTCGTAAGGAGCTTATGTCTAAGCGACTATACTCTGGATTCAACATTGAAAGTGTCTTTACCCTTGTGAAATTAGGACCTGGTTTTGATCTTCTTCTGGCTTGTGTTTACATTCCTACTTCAAGTCCTCTTTCTGTTTACCGTGAATTCTGTGATGCGGTTACTGAGACAGTCAAATTGGCAAATTTCCCAAAGAAGACACTCATTTTTGGAGACTTCAACTTGCCTCACTTCGATGTCAACTTACCTGTATCTGGCCTCCCTCAAAATTGCAGCGAATACCTCCGTGACATGTCTTCTCTGCACTCTCTCTTCCAGATAAATCATGTTCAAAACCATAGAGGAGTAACATTGGACTTGGTCTTCCACTCTGATAGTGAAGTGCAAGTTAGCAGGGCTAACGATTGGTTGATTAAACCTGAAATTCATAACCCTCCTCTGTCCCTTACTCTTGAGTGCTATATGCCTTCTACTTGTGACAACAGCTACAGCGGCTACAACTTGGGGAAATGTGACCTCCCAGCTGCTTTTATAGCCCTACAGGAAGCAGATATGGGATTTATTCACCAGCTGATCTCAACTGATGAAAAGTTTGATCTTTTGGAAAGTTCCTTAGAGAAAATCGTCAAAAATGCAAGTCCGTTGAAGAAATTTGGTATCTCACTCTTCCCTGGTGGTTTAATGATGACCTAAAAAAATGCATTATTGAAAAGAAAGCTGCGCATGCACGTTTCAAGAGAAGTTTCAATCTTGTCCATTATTATGAATTCTCAAGGCTGAGAGATACTTGTAGGTCGCTGTCTCGTGAATGCCACATTCGATATTTGTCCAATGTTCAATCAAACATATCTTCTAATCCACGAGCTTTCTGGGGACTAGTTAAAGCTCAAAGAAATACTCCTGAAATGCCGTCTAGTCTGCATTTGGATGACGAAGTAGCCAGTGACACAACAAGCATATGTCAGCTGTTCTCCAGTTATTTCAACTCGGTCTACTCTCCATTGTCACGAGTTTCACCTAGCTTTAGCTATCCCGTCTTCGATTCTCTTTGTGTCATAACAACCTCAACTGAAGAAGTTCTCAGCAAGCTTAAGAATCTGGACACTACAAAGGGAGCTGGAATTGACAATATACCGCCATCTATGCTTCATCACTGTCGATCTCTCTTAGCTGAACCCCTCACAGTGTTGTTCAACGAATCACTTAACAAATGAATCTTCCCTAGCTCTTTAAAGTTGGGCTTCATCATTCCTTTATATAAAGCAAATGATCCCAGCAACATACGGAACTACCGTCCAATCACTATTCTGCCGGCAATTGGCAAAGTTTTTGAAAGTATCGTGGTAGATAGACTGAATCCTTTTCTATCCAAAATAATCCATCCTTCCCAACATGGTTTTATGAAAGGCAAGTCTACTGTCTCCAACCTCCTGCTCTTTCAAGAATATGTCTTGTCTGCCTTTCGTAAGAACTACCAAGTTGATACAGCCTACATCGATATGGCAAAAGCCTTCGACAAGGTCAACCACACAATTCTTGTGTCTAAGTTGCTGGGCTACGGAGTTGCTGAACCTCTTTTGTCATGGATTTCTAGTTATCTTCAAAAACGTTCTCTTGTCGTGAGGATTGGTTCTACCACTTCCACTCAGTTCTCACCTTCTTCAGGAGTTCCACAATGTTCTTTGCTGGGACCTAGCCTCTTCAATGTTTTTGTCAATGACCTACTGGACAAATTAACTGTAAAGGCCTTACAATTTGCTGACAACCTGAAGATTTTCACTACTGTGTCCACACCAGAAGACTCTCAAGAAATTCAAAATAGCCTTTCTGAAATTGAGGATTGGTGTGTCAGGAATAACATGTCTGTAAATCCCAGTAAGTGCTCTTGTATAACCTATCACCGCATCAAATCCCCCGTCATGTACGTATACTCCATTTCTGGTACATCAATTCCACGGTCCCAGTGTATAAAAGACTTAGGCGTTATATTTGCCAGCGACATGGGATTTTCTGGACAAATAGATCACATCAGTAGCAAAGCAAACAAGATGCTTGGTTTTATAGCAAGATTCCTCCAGAGGCATCGAAAACCCTTCTGCTCTTCGCTCTCTGTATTGTTCCCTTGTGAGACAGCTCGTGGAATATGCAAGTCCCGTGTGGTCGCCTTACACTGTTGGCAATAGGACGAGACTGGAGGCTCTACAAAGGCGTTTTCTTCGCTTGGTTGGTGTCCGGCTGGGTTTTGCCTATCTTGATGTGCCTGTGGAGGAACTGTCCAGCAATCTGAACTTGTCACCTCTTGCCCTGCGACGTGACGTGGCTGATGTTGTTCTTCTCTGGAAGATAGTGAATGGTCACATGAACTGTCCAGATCTCCTAGCTGAAATTGACCTCAGAGTTCCTACAAACACAAGATCTCGAGATCTGCTGGGTCGAAGATACCACTCAACCAACTTCGACTTCAACAGTCCTTTCGCAAGGTTTATTCACCTGGGAAATCGAGTTGCGTCTGGGTGTGACCTGTTCTTCGATGGACTTCACCAGGTTCGTCGGCAGGCCTCCTCTCTTCTTCTTTCTGGGAAAGACTAGTAATTAATTATTGTTGTTTGTTAATCTTATTTTTTGTTGTTGCTATGCTTTGGATATTTATAACCTGTTATATCTTTGAAAACTTATATTTATTATCACATTTTGTACACCTATTTTGTTGTATTCTACCATCATGATTGTCTTTGTAAATTGGCTGCTGCCGTTGGAAAATAAATAAATAAATAAATAAATAGCCTATTTAAGATACCTTTTGAAGTTCAGAATAAAATTGACTTGTTTCATTACTGTTAATGGTGATGTTTGCTCTGTTGCTACCAGCTTGTTTGGAAACAATGTTAAATAAGAATAAATGGTTAAAGTTTTGACATTTCTGCAAGAGAAAGAGTTTCGATAAAGGCCTAAGCAAGCATGCCAGCTGTTTTATTCAAAAACCATTCAAAATTTCACAACTTAAACCATTATTATCTTTGAAACGGTTAGGTTTATGAAAAAAATTACAAGAATAAATTGTCTTAAAATTACATTTTCTACCAGAATACATCATGAAATACAGGGTGTTCTATAAAAAAATCAAAGTTGGCGGCCATATTGGAAAAATGGCGGCTAAAATAATTTTTTTGACTTGACTATAATTTTTTAAATAAAAAATCCAAGGCACTTACCATTTAACTTTTGTTGATATCTCTTATGGTTTTTGAATAAAAAGGCTGGCACACTTCAATCACCCTGTATAAGACTATATTATATGTTAAAAGCCAGGAGACGCAACTGCAAAGACAGCAAGATGTACTTACAATACTATACACAAACAAAATTTTATAATTAAAAAGCATAAAAAAGAAAAATTTAAAGAAAGACCTGATTATATTGGGGTTAATTTTTTTTTTATTCTCTCCCTTGTAGCATCAGAAATGAGGAAAACAGAAATAAGTAAAAAAAAAGCTTAAGAATTTTCTAATTAGTGGAGAGTTTTATAATCTTGAAGAATTTATTACACTATGTTCAAATATGTAATTAAACATGTAAATATGTAAAAAAAATATAAAATGGATCAGGAAAATGGTTTTAGTATTATTTGTAGTTTAAGATTAAGACACATTCATGTACACATTGTTGTATGTCTGAATAAAGATTTATTTGACTTGACTTGACTTAAGATATTAATAGTTTACTAAAAAACAAATTTTATTAGATTTCTTGTAGCAGCAAACATAGGTACTCGTTAAACCTAATTGTTATTTAAATAGATTTGATTGAAAATCAAGTCAGACAAATGGAAATTTGCTTAGTCGGTAGGTTTGCTGCGGCGGGGGTATTTTTTATTTTCAGTCATTTATATAAATTCATTTTACCTATGTAGGATAGCTAACTAAGGAACCCAAACAGGCAATTCCCAGGTGTTAAATTATCTATGAATTCAAGTACTTGTATGATATCCTGGATAGATCTTTAACTTGGGATAAACCAAACCAATAGAAAGTAATCCATACTGAGCCTAAGCACTGAGGGAGGCCTCGTAATTATGATTCTGCATAAAGATAGGCCCTGACCCTGACTAACGACTCCATTGTCTTAGTAGTTGTAACCCACAACAAACGTGCGGAGCCGCTTCCATTGACGCAAGTTGGTACTGCTAGTTTCTTGGTCAAAAGACACATGGGTAATGAATAATTTAAAATTTTGCGTCAAGTCAGAGTTCCAAGTGCTAATAAAAATGATTATAGTTAAGATCTGCTAAGTATTAGAAGAAGGTATAGTCTAAATGTTTCAGTTCCTCGTGCAATCCATAGTGAGGAGACTTGTTTGGATACAAACGTTTGTGTTTGTTTGTTTGAGAGCTCGGGTACATATTATTTTGTTCATACAGATAAATGGTCAAGCTGTAACAATGTAGATTGAAAGATGTGATGGTGGTTTTATATTAGTCACCATTAGAACCTTTACATTTCTCAAAATGTAGATTATTGTATAAGAAATTTAAAGTTACTAATTGTGACTAAAATACGACTCAATATTGTCTTAAAATTGGTTTTATTTAGCCTTTTTATTTTAAGTTGTGGTTAGTTTTAACTGCAACATGTTGTACTCCTGAATAAAGATTATATGACTATGACTAGGTATAAGAGTAATTAACATAATACACTTGACTTTTGGCACTAGGGGATTTTAGAAAGAAACAATTTTTAGAAAAACAACACTATGTTTATTTCAAGAAAATATAGTTGAAATTTGACATTGTGGCTAAAAAAAACGTAGAGTAGGAACTATGAAATAAACTTTATGAATGAACAAAATCTAGTGACTAGATTGGATTACAAAACAATCAATTTTATAACGTATCTTTGGATAAATTGATTTAGATTAAAGAGTTTTAAGCGAGTAAAGATAATTTTGCTTTCTAAACTTGCACCACTCTTTTTGAGATTAATTGTTCATATTCAAATTTAAAAAAAATATGGAGGGTGTTCCGTAAGTAAACATCCAAACTCCGGGAAATGATTCTATGACTCTGATTCTATGAGTAAACCAGGAATGAATTTTTTTTCCAAAATCACTTCTCATCAGATATCCACCATTTTTATTATCACTATTAACATTGTTATCTTTTATTGTTCCAACAGCTCTTAATAAAACTTGGTTTGTATATTAAGGTATAAAAACTATAAAAGGAAAAAATCAACGTGCTCCAATACAAATTTCAAATTTGTTGCCATTTTAAATTTATGATTAAATGAAATGATTTATTTGCCGTTTATCATGTACATGAAAAGGGGCATTGTCATATGATTAATACAATTAAAACAGATTGTCATGTTTAAATTACTAAAAATGGTTGAGTTTATGGAAACATTTTTCAAAAAACCCTTTCATTTTGAGTTTAAAATTTCCAACAGTATGTCACCAAATTTAAAATTATCGCATAAAAAACAGCTGGAATATTAAGATTATTAGTTGAAAATTATTTGCAACCTCACGCTTAGCCTCTTTCGACCTCAGTTTACAACAGAAAATTGTGATATTTGATTTCTGCTAATTCTCTTTTGATCTTGATGAACTTGGTGTAGTTTGATAGGAAATTTAAAATACTAAATAAACGTGTTCTTTACATCTTTTCATAGAATCTGCAACTTTTTTGTAATTTTAATTAATAATTAAAATTAAAAATTCCGCCATTTAGAGATTTTGTAATGGAGCAAGTTGATTTTTTTCCTCACATAGGTCCCTTCTATCTTAATATACATATTACTTTATAGTTCCAAAAAGATTGGTTGAAACAATTTAAAAATAAAAATACAAAATTGTGTGTCTCTGGTTAACAAAGCGATTTTGGAAAAAAGTCAATTCCTGATTTTCTTTTAATTTTTACCCATAGAATAATTTCCCGAAAATTGGCTGTTTACTTGAGGGACAGCCAATAAACTAGAATAACAATTAGGCTAGACTTGTTGGAAGTACAGTACGCACACATTTTGTAAGCAACATAGGGCTAAATTGCATCTTATCATATCTACCTAATTAATTAATTAAATGACAAATATTTAAAAAGTTATTTTTTGCAAAGTTGAAAATCTAAAATAATACAAACGTAGAGAATGAATTGAATAAATAAATAGGAGATTATTTTGTCAAACATTTGAAAGAGGATAGTGTTTGTAACTAAAGGAGATTTGTCAAAAATGTAAGTACAGTATGCTCTCTCTTATCCGGACACCTTTTAACCGGACATCGGTTTAACCAGACTACACTTGACGGAAATGTCATCTCTGTAACCGGACAATTTTTATCAGTACATCGGTTGAACCGGACTAGATCAGAAGGAAGTGGGTGGAAATAAAACGACTGTTCTGGTGGGAAAGTTTTGAGACCAGTGATCATACGTGTCTAAATACAATGCTCTCCTAAATTTAAGTCACATACTGTATACAGCATGCATTTAAACAGTCCAATTTAACAAGTTTTTGGGGACGTCGGTTTAACCAGAAAAACTGTTATCCGGACTGGCCTCAGTCCCGAGGAGCCCGGTTAAGAGGGATTCTACTGTACATACAAACACAATGATTAAAACTTTATAACTTTTGTTATAAAATAATAATAATAAGCTGGAAACCAATAACTATGATAAGCAGTGTGAAACCAACATTGCAGTAATTTATCTTGTAAAGATATTTTTTACGTGTTGTTGATTAAATAGTAATTCTTTTGACCATGGTATATTGTTCATTGTTTGTTTGACATGAAAACTTTTAGTTAGGGGTTAGCACATTTTATTACTAGGTGGCCGTATTTTAGGTAATTTTTAATAACTCCAACAAAAAATACAAGATATTTTGAGAACATCTTTACATTACAACATTACAAGTACTGTATTAATAAAGTAAAACCTCACTAACTCGACACTCGGTAACTCGACAGTCGACAGCTGACAGGGCACACACAAAAAATGCAATTTTTTCAGATAATTAGGTTTTAATTGTTGAATATTCAACATTTCTCTAAAGATTGTTTACTCAATATGTAAAAATACTCATGTAAGTAATAAATTTATATGTAAACATTTGTCTGTTAAGTATTCATTTACTAAAACCAATTAAAAATGTCAATGTTCTGGATAACTCGGCAACCTCTAAGTCCATAAATTGTCAAGTTAATGAGGTTTTACTGTATTACATTAAACCATATGTTTGATTAACTTAATTATCCTTTAATTGATAGAGATGAGAGAGTGGCGCAAACTCCCCAAATTTTAAGCCAAAACCAAATAATGAGTCAGAACAACTAATAACTAATACTAATGCCACATTGGCAATAAAATAACAAAAGAAATAACAATTATAAAGGAAATTTACTTCCTTTTTACAAGTGTTAACACAATGAATAGCAATGGCTACAGTAACTTAAACAGAAAATGTTTATAATATAATAATACTACTTATAGCTGCAAGTAATACATGGGGTATTCCATGAAATTATTATCTATTAAATTAAATCTGCAGAGTGGAATCAAGGCTATGGATAGTGTTAATCCAAAAACAAATAAAACAAACATGAATAACAATATAACTTTTCCGACAGCAAGAAGCCGGCATATGAATTAACAATTCATTATTGCACCTTTTAGTGACAAGGAGCTATTCTATATACAATACAAAGTTGTGCCATAGGCGAGATTCAAATCAGTCTGTTCATTAATATGGACCATCGTTTTTTTTTTACTTGTATTGGAAAGTTTGGTCCATTTAAATGTTTAAAGTCTTTGCAAATTGATAAATCCTAGTAGAAAAATATACATTTCACTTTCATACCTTCAGTTGGAAAAAACCATACAAGGCCTTCTTATAAGACTAGTTATACAAAATATACACACAGATGTTATACGAACATTTATCAGTCTTAAGTTAGGAATTGAGTTTAGAGGAATACAAACCTCAACTGGCATTGACCTACATCGGGGCTTTTAACCTTTACAAACACTTACTTTTAGCTCATTCAACTACATTTATATTAAAAATATATTAAATATATTGAGTTATGTTTCCAAAATATTTTATCTGATGTAATAGAACAGCTGGTTATTGGTTAAGCTGTTTCCATCACAAAAATATCTACACTATTCTTGTTTTGATTTGTTATTAAAAGTAACTTTAAAAAATCTTTTAACATGTGTTGAGTTTAGGAAACTGAATTTTTGGCCTCCGAATTCATGTATCAAAATAAAAAATGTTGAACCAAAAGCTATAAAAAAGTTAAGACCAGAAAATGTTCCAATAAATTCATTATTAAAAATAAAGGTTAAAGAAGGAGAATCCCTAAAGCACATTATATTACACTCTAATATAAATAATGTTATTGGTTTTTTATATCACTTTTGAGTATTTGACTCAGAAACCTATAGTAATATCACAAGATTGTCTTTGTTGTCATACAAGGTTGAGCTAAAACTAACACACACTCAGACATAGAAGTTCATGTATCGTTTTGTCACAATTATTATCGGCCCGACCCGACCCGACCCGAACCAAAAAAGTCTGACCCGCAGACCCCTAGTTTTGTGTCAAGTTAAAATAAATGAAATAACAAACAACCAATAATGGTAAATAATCATTGAATTCAGAATATCATATCCAGTAAATATCAAGACATACGCCCAGTGAAACTAACTGTTGCAAAACAAGTAATTAATAAGCAAGCTGGAGCATAAATTAATTCCAGGAGGAAATAGCTCACTTTGCAAAAATTGCACTACACATAATTTTACATTTAACTATATTAAAATAAATTTACATTTACAGCTAAATTTAAAGCCACTAGGATATTTTTTAAAGTTTTTCAAAAGGTGTTGGGAAAGTTTTTCTAAAGGTGTTGGGCACATACACCAAACACTACAAAGTTATGCGTACAACGTATTTAACATAAAACTTATATTTAACAGTTTTATCAAATATTTAAAATTGTATACTGTATTCACAGTTAAAATTGACTTTGTCATCAAAACTCTGTTAAAGGTATCAAACTTATTTATAACGTTTCACGGCCTTCAAAGTATGTGTAAATTTCTCTGATGTATGACATGACTTTCTGCCAGTCTGGCCGTTCCTGTTGCATGTCGGTCATATTCTAAAACAACAACAAATAATGAATTCAAGTTATTGCCATAACTTCTTAGTGCAACATAAATACAGTGAAATGCTTAGTTTGTAAACTCCATTATTGTGAATTATTTTCTAAGTCCTACTTCGGTGTCATAAAAATGTTGGAATTCACATACAACTTTGGATGATTAACATTTTTAAAGATTAATATAGGCCTATGACAACTTGGATTAAGCAAGAACAATATGTTGAAAGTGGTGTTGTGATGAGGATCAATACTTGACACAGTTAAGGTATTTGTCTTCACCTACCCCAATCCTCAACCCCCCCCCCTCCCCCAATCTCTCTGACATTTACCCATCGGCCGGTTTCCACAAGTCCCCTTACCGCTTACTCTCTATCTGCGGACAGTATTGTACAGCAGGTGATTAGTCACCGTAAGCCTTTAGACATCAAATGAGCATTGTTTAAACATAAAGTTTTTATTTTAGAGATTGTAAATGCTCCTAAATATCAAGCGTTATCGAAGCAAAGCCAATCATCTAAACTTCTGGTGTTCTTTCAACTGTCATCTAGGCCTACTTCTGATGAAGCCTCTGAAAGAGACGAAAACATCAAGTATTATTATGTGTGTGTTTTATGTGTTCTTTGACTCGTCTGCAACCTTTCATCAGGTGAGTCAGCTGTGTCTTCTCCATCCTATATATTTATTTAATCCAAGCTAAATGCTTTTTCCTCAAAACATATTTAGAAAATTCGGAATTTTAACTTAACAGTAACAGGTTTATTTATGTATACAAAATTGTCAAATCAGGACAGATTTGATAAGTTTAATTTTTTTTATATAGTTCACATGCCACTTAAACTTATTTCAATATCCACACCATAGACATTCTCCGTATGAAAATAGTCCAAATTACATGGCAATAAAAATGTTTAACAAGCTACCAAAAAGCATAAGCAAAAATTCATCAAAAAATACCTTCAAAACCTTACTTTAATTTGTATTAGAAAAATCTTACTATAGCATTGAAGAATTTTTTCTGGATAATTTTAAAGGGTAGGTTGTACCACAGTTTAAAAAGAGTCCTTAATTATTATTATTTTAATTTTTTTTGCTGTGGTAGAATTATATACAGGACAAAAGCCTACATCCTATCCTGATACAGTCCAGACTGGTATTTCATTAAGTAGTTTGAGCAGTTTTAAGAATTGACAAATAATTTTTTTGTACAATATTACGATTACATTTTTACCAGTTTCACCAGTAACAGCGGCTGGTGTTCATAGGGTGTGGAAGGGCTCTGCATATTTGCATGTTTACATAAAAATATCATCATTGCACAATCATTAATATGGTTCTATCATTATATTTTCAGTTACCTTGGTTCAGATATAAAAACTCCTACATTAAAAATAACTTAATCAAACTTAACTCAAAATTAGCAATAAATCACGTAAAGAACAAAACAGCTCTTGTAAGCTCCTGATAAGGCTATAGCGGAGCTTGCTATTTCAGAACAGAAACGTGTTTATAAATATAAATAATGATTAAATATATGAATTGAATTGAATTGAATTATCAACTAGCCTCTGACCGACTGGGTTACTGTGTAACCCTATTTTACCATAATATGTGACCATGTCTATTGGAAGATTTTTTGTTTAAGGACAATAAAGAATTTCTGATTTCTGATTCTGATTTCTGGTTCCGTGATTGAAAACAAATCATAACTCTCTCCTACATAATGGAAAAGACTAATTAACTCAAAGCGCACTGGGTGTATACAAGATCCTTCGTTCATGTGGCAAAGTTTACATCAGAGAAACAAGATGTATGATTTCAACTAGGCCTAGATTAAAAGAACTTGTTAGACAAAACAGGAAAAACAGAAAAATCGGCAGCAGCAGAACATAACTTTACAGCCAAACACTCCATAGAATTCGACAAAGTTTTAATACTTGCTAAAGAGCCCTTTTTTATCAAAGAGCAATCTGAGAAGCAATATAAATCTAAAGCTGACAGCTACAAGCTTCCACAGTCATGGAATCCAGTATTACGTAAGCTTGTTTACTAGAAACAGCCAGAGCAAGGGAAGCATTCATTCCAGCATTCCATACGTGTGCCGATGACCTCCCCCCAGCGATAAATATACCTGGACGAACTTTCCTGATTTAGTCTCAGCCAAGCCACTGAGGATAGCACTTCATAGTAAGGACAAAACGTCTGGCGGTGATATAGAACTGACAATGCATTTAACGCCAATAACCATCACCATGGAAAACAAATCATATTGACAGCAATAAAAACAATACATAACTCATTAAAAAAAAAAAACTTAAAAAATCATATTTAAAAACATAATAACAACACTCATAAAAATACAGAGGTAAAAAGGACATAAAGCTGTATTATTCCTTCTTCTGATCTTTTTTTCTTTAGTATCTTTTATTCCACAAAGTCAACAAGTTGCCATGGTTACTTATCACCCAATCACAGGCTATTAAGCGATATGCATATATTTAAAATACCCAAACCACTCCCTCGCCTAGTTTAGGTTTCTAATAGTAGTGATGTATCTAGTTAGGTGGGCCGGGTAAATACCCAGTGGGTATATAAGAATTATATTTCTTGTTTTTAAAATACCCTTTCTGAATTGTAACTTTAAATGTTGTTTGCAACAAGTATGCCTGATATTTGTTAAACCCTCATAAGATTATTTTCATTAAGATTTGTAAAAAGTTGCACTTACTAGGATAGTTGGAATCCCAACAGACTCAGCGGCAGAGAACGCCAGTCTAAAGTTGTGTGACCTATTGTTCGGGGACAGCTGGTTGTACGGTACTTTGTTGGGGATGTACGTGTGCAGTAATGCACAGAGTGCCATACCGTCAGTCCAGGAGCTACTAAAATTAGTAATTTCTATATTAGAGTAGCCCTGGACTCTGGTTTGCACCCACTTCAACAGAGCATTTCTTTTCGACCCTACATTTTTATCCGGGAGGGGAAAAAGTGGATCCTTGTTTTCATCTGAAACGAAATGTAACTTTAGAATTAGGGATGGACGGGATTGAATTTTTAGTTCGGGACGGGATTTTTTTTGTGCATAAAAAGAAAGTACTGTATTGCCGTTACCAAAAAAAGACATACAAAATCAATTTTTACGATTTGTGGCACTAATCAATAAAAAAAAACAAAAAATGGGTAACAATTTAAAGGTACCTATAGAAAATTGTGACTCGTGGGTCACGGGGTGATCGTCTGAATGACTCACGGTCACGGGGTGATCGTCTGTATGACTCACGGTCACGGGGTGATCGTCTGTATGACTCACGGTCACGGGGTGATCGTCTGTATGACTCACGGTCACGGGGTGATCGTCTGTATGACTCACGGTCACGGGGTGATCGTCTGTATGACTCACGGTCACGGCACGATCGTCGTCATGACTCGCGATCACGGCGCAATCTGACTCGCGGTCACGGCACGATCGTCGGTTTGACTCCGCGGTGACGGGGTTATCGTCGGTATGACTCGCGGTCACGGCGCGATCGTCGGTATGACTCTCCATCACGGCATGATCGTCAGTATGACTCCGCGGTAACGGTGCGATCATCGGTAGGACTCCGTGGTCACGGCACGATCGTCGGTATGACTCGCGGTCACGGCGTGATCGTCGGTATGACTCGCAGTCACGGCGTGATCGTCGGTATGACTCGTGGTCACAGCGCGATCGTCAATCCAATAATCGCGGCCACGGCACGTTCGTCGTTATGATTCCGCGGTCACAGCATATTCGTCGAAATGACTTCGTCTCCTGCGTTTGCTGACCTATCGCTCGCAATAACGGCGTTATTGGCACTCGTGAAGCGGAACAATCGCCGACGATCGGACCGAATCCCGTCCCGAAAAATTCCCGAGTCAAATGTAATCCCGTCCCGATAATCGGGAATATTTTTTCCCGAAAAAATCCCGAAATTTCGGGATCCGTCCATCCCTATTTAGAATATATATCTAGAAAGTTCTTGGAGCTTGAATTGATGAAAAAACTCAATGATAGCCTGTGTTTATAAATACTCTACTCGATTATTTGAGCACTTTATCGTTTCATAAAAAACAAGAGCGGATCCCTGATTCCATTTACTTATCAGACTTGGATACGATAAATAACAGAGAGCGCACAATAAATAGCCTTATATAACCTCCGAAAACATTTTAATGTAAATATACTACCTGCATTTTCCAGTAAAAGTGCTTTAAATATCAAGAACGTACAAATTGTAAATAAACTCAGCAGATTGAAGTGATAAAATACTGTCAGTGACTGGAATCAAGATAAGGTAATCAATGCAACGTGACTAACCAACCGACCTTGGCCAAGGACAAACTGGTACCTTGTTATCTCTTATCAGTTAGTTTTAACTTCTAACTAGATATTGGCTCAAATAGTCTGTGATTGCCAATTTATACCTGACATACAGTTATTTAAACCAGTGTATGTTATATTACATCTGAGAATATTTTTTAAGAATAAATTGAAGAAATTTGTTGGGTTACCTAAATTCTTACCACTGTTTACCCATACTTAACACATTCGATGCGGCGGGTCCACCGGTGGACCCCGCGCGTCTCAGCTGAGGAGCGGGGGGTCCACGGGTGGGGGAGCGCGCATTGCATTGTTTGCCGGATCAGTGTGGTTCAGCCATTGTCCGGGGAACGTTGTAATCTTTACCAGCCTGTAGCTTATAATGCGAGCTTTATTCTGGTGTAGGTTGGTACAAAAATTGCCCGTAAAATCCCGTCTGGCAATGCTTTTGTCCCGTTTTCGGGGATTTTCTCAATTCGAGCCGTATTACAAAGACTGTGGTTATTGACCCAGGCAGTGCTGCTACCTTTGGGTGTTTCAGTGAACTACGTCCACTTTCGGAGTAACGCAGAACAATCACCACTGCTCTTTTGTGATTCGTCTTACTGAGATATTTCAATACCAATAGCGATCGCTGATTCAGTTAGCGCGTCGGGGCTCCGCCCGGGCCTCGCCGCAATTGGCGAGCGCCTGTTTAAAGGTTTTCAGCAGCGAATGTGTTAAAGATGAATAACAAGCACACTGATTTCAAAAAGGGTGAACTTATCTTTGCCAAAGTTCGTGGTTATTGTGCTTGGCCAGCCATCATAGATAAAATAAAAAAATAGAGTTAAAAAATAATGTTAAAAACTATCACGTGACATTTTTTGAGACTAATGAAACTGGAGTATGTAAACAAAATGGGATTTCTCCATATAGAGGAAGCAAAACTCTACTTAGTACTCTTAGTAGCTCACAAGAAAATAACCCTAGGTTTAAACAAGCTTTAGATGAAATTGAAAAAGCCTATAAATTACAGAAAAGTTGCTCAGGTACGCCAAAGCAAAAAAAACACCATCAGTTAAACCTAAGCCTACTCTAAATACACCAGACACTGTTCTTAATCGTAAAGAATTGAAAATGAGTGACTCAGAAACTGCTCAAACAGTAACAAATGATTCAAGTATACTAACAACCTGTCTGTCTGTAATGGAACCACAATTTTTAACCATTCTATTAAATTGTATTATGAGATACTTTCAACAAAGTTATTGAAAGAGAAATACTGCTGATGAATCCTATACTAACACAAGCAGTTAAATGTTTGGAAGAAATTGACATTCTAATTGAACCCCTTCATATGAAAAATAAATCTTATGTACTTTTCCCCATTAATGACTCAGTTGCTGATGACAAAAATGGAGGTTCCCATTGAAGCCTTTTATTGCTTGAAAAAACAAATAACGACTGGTTCTACTTTGATTCAGTTGGGGAGTATAACTTGCATCATGCAGAGCAGGTCGTCCAGAAGATTTCACGACATTTAAGCTTGAGTGAACACACAACCTTGAACAAAGTTATTGTTCCCCAAAAACGTAACAATGAGGATTGTGGAATATTTGTCTTAATATTCACTGACATACTCATCCAGTGAATAGCTCAAGGCAGAATACAAGAGTTAAAAGGTAGCCCTAAAAACTTCTGGCCGGATGTAAAGGAGAGTGATGTCTTAACGAAGCGGGCACAACTGACTTTATTTCTCCACAATTGCAACTCTAATGCACTAAGTCCCAACACCGTAGCCGATATGATGTTCAAAGCACCCACTTCATCTACACCGTTAATCGTTAATCTAACATCTTTCCCTACAACCACTTCTACTGAAGATATTTCATCTAACACAGTTACAAACAATAACCATAAAAATGTAGTTAATCCTGAAAAGAAAAGTGAGAAATGGGAGAAACCAAAAAAGTATATAAAATAAACCAACACTCCAAGACTCAACATTTTGCAAACATCACTATCAACAATAAATATGACACGTTGGAAATCAATGAAAGTTTAGACTCGGACAGAGGTGTTGTTCTTCAAAGCCCACAACAAAAGACACAAACCAGTTTCAGAGGAGGGCAAACAAAAGTGTATTGGACTCATGAGAAGAAAGAAACAGATAGACACTCTTTTAAAATAGAATTGTTTTCTGACAGCCATGGAAAAGAACTCCCTGAAATGATTAAACAGTGTAGCGGAAGTGCAGTTACAATTTGTGCTCAAGTCATGTCCGGTGCTACAACTGAGAGGATTTATAACCAAGCAAAGAGATCTCAACATCAGTCATTGGTAATAATTGCTGGAACCAATGATGTAATTAAAAAAACAACCTCAAACATCTATAGCAATTTGGAAAAGTATCTGACACAACTAAGTAAGGATAAATCATCTGTACATATTACCACAATCCCAAATCGCTATGATATAGGCTTAAATGATCCGCGTCATGATGACATCAACTTGTTAAATAGTTACATTAGGGAATTAGCAATAAGAACAAACAAAGTGCATCTTATTGACCTGGATGAACTACAAAGATTTCATTTTACACAACTGGTAAGTTGCCAGCTGTTCACAGAAGACGACAATGAAAAACTGGAGGCTATGATGAAGTAATGGCAAAGAGCATCTTTTTTATCAGCTTCAAAACTAAGTAGGATACAACTCTTGCGAAGTTTTTTTCTAGAACTAAAATTTGGATTATCACAGAGTAAGATTATTGTCTTTTCATTTACAAAGTTAAAATCGACAATATCAATCATATCAATCATTAGTTTATCTCAGGCTCAATCCAATTTTCTTAGTATATTTTAAAGCTCTCCCAAAGAATCAAAAGACCCAGGCCTAGACCTAATACCTTAAAATACCTACTATGTATGGTCGCCATTTCATCGAACAGTATTAACAGTATTAACTAATTATTTAGGAGGGCCTATATATAAATTGATTAAAAATTAACCAAACAACAACTATGCTTGTGGTTTCGTCAATAGAAAGATAAAATATCTATACCAAATATTTTAACTCATAAAATAAGATTGTGGATAAGTTACAAGTTTAATATGTAGCCATAAACAGTTTTATGGCAGTAGGCAATGGCCAGCGGCGAACTAAATATTCACGAAAATACTGACTGAGTTTAGACATAACATTTAACAGTCATCATAACACTATTATTTTTTTTGACAAAATAGAATTGGGGAAAATCTAAAGAAATAAAAGAGATATAACTCAACAGTTCTTGGAAGTACTTGAATACAACAATTATTGTCGTGATAAAATGTTAATGGATTTGGGACTGCTAATGGGTTTTTTTTATTGCATCATCACCCTAGTAATAAATTATGAAGATCAAACAAACATCTGATAAGACTTTTATGTGCTCGTAATAGGCTGTACCGAACTGAATTTGTACCTGTAAAATGCTGTACCGAACCGATGATGGTAATTAAGCAGACCCCTAATAATAATATAATAAACCTACAAAGTACGACTAAGACTATGCTTTCCAACAATTAACCAGGAATTCAAGAAGAACAACCTTAAAGTTCTTATTTGCTCTGCAATGGGTTGTGTGAGGGATCAGGTGTGGCCAGATCACTTCATCAGGAATCTGGTTCAATCTCAATAG